TTAAACTTAAAGAGTCACCAAGTGCCTCACAAACAATAAAGCGTTAATAAATGAGAAAAGCAATAAGACATATAATGAAAACGCGAGCGGACGCAGAACAATAAAAAAGCAGGAATCGTGTGAATATCTGTGGAGGAGTTGATTTCCAGACTCAGGAATCAGGAAACCGAAAACAGCCCCTCTGTGTAATTAGAAGAGGGTTTGATCTGACTGATGAATTTTATGTAAAAATATACAGTTAAAAATAAAATTACCCAAACAGGATTATCTCAAAAGTGTCTGTCAGCGGTGGAGTTTTGTTGCCATGTGATGACGACCCGTTGGGGGACCGTCGCCGTTGAAGGTGAGAGGGTAACGTCTCCGTGGGGAGGAAGGTGACGGAGAAGGTTATTAGATTAGTGCGAGAGAAGTGTTCCACCAATGGTCCCTGCAAGGCAAAGTGATTGAGCTCTGAAGACAGATTGTGTGCAATTACAGTCCATTTGTTCCAGGCCGCCCCCCCCCCCCCCCTTCCCTCCGCCTGGTAATGGAAGCCGCTCGCTGGCTCTCGTCTTGCTCTTATTGTCTTTGCCTTCTTTCTTTCTGTCTCTATCTCCATCTGCTTTCACCACCTCCTCCTCTCCCTCCTTCATCTGCCCTCCTTTTGCTCCTTCCACCCTTTACTCTCCATTTTCTCCTCCTTTCTGTCCAGCTGAAGCAATTATATGCTTCCTGGCTTCTAACTAAAAGCCTTCTCCTTTTCCAGGCGGGAATCCCCTTCCCTCCTGTTATCCCAGTTGGCCTCTTCCGACAGACCTGATGGAGTCCGTCACATGCGGGATCTGTTGAGTGGATCTTAATTAGACGACTCTTGTGACACCGAAGATTGCATAAAGGCGTCAGACATGGATTAAAGTGACACAGGAAAACACAGGAATCGCTCAACAAGCTCACATTTGTTTGACAATTGAGTGTGTCAAATCTAACATATGACCCCCGTCTTTTCTCCTCTATCATCCTTTCCTTCTTCATCTTTCTGTTTGGCTGAGGCAATTAAACGCCCCTTCCTTTTTTTGCCTCGCTCAGAACCTCCTGGGCCCCTCACAAAAACCCTGAGGTGACGATCTCCTGGGTGCCTCATTGCAAGAGTCAGAGAGCACAATTAGATGACAATAGCGTCGTCAACAAATGTGGTTTGACCCCGGCGGAGGAGAGGGCTCCACTGTTCAATATGTCACCCAGACGTCGATATCGAGTCATTTTAGATGTGTCCTGTGATATTTATGTGACAGGAAGCTTGATATTTATCTTCTGTGGTCCCCTCCTCATTGTTATCGGCTGCCTTCATTGACCATTTCCATCGTCATACCCCCTCCACAGGACCTCAGAGTCCATGTTTTCAGGTCACGTTTGTGATGTATTGAGCGGAACCCAATTAGAGGAGCCGCAGGACAAAAACAAATGTTTGTTTTCATGAAAGACAAACCTGACATTCCCGGTTCAGATGGAGTAAATAACTGGTCCTGAGTGAGATTTCCTCCCAGTTACAGGGCCTTGGATTCCTTGAGAAAGGGTATTGATCAGAACCAAACCATTAGGGGGCCCCTTTAGCTCGACCCTTATCTCGGCTTGGTGAGAAATCCAAGGGTTTTTCTTATGTCCTTGTGCTTTCTGACGGTAAAGAAGAGCCTAGACATTTATTCTGAGATGAGCACCAGGGTCTCTGAAAATAAACAGAGAAAACTGGAGCCTAGTTTGCCTGTTGGGGGTCAGGCTGATGGGTATCCATGGTAACAAATACACTTCACGCTTAAACAACCCAAGTCATGGGAATGATGATTCACTCAGGCCGATCCTGGGGTTCATGTAGGCTCTGCAGGTTTCTGACCATCTGATTGGCTCTTCATGTCAATGTAGCGTTTCTGGAGGATCTGTAGTTTCTATTCAGTGATCTGAGTGGGCGGGGCTGAATTTGCTAGAACAATATTAGGTATTGACTTGATTGGCTGATTGATTGGTGTCTGAAGGGGGGTGGTGCAACCCTTGCAGAGGTGGAAAAACACAACCGTCCATGTAGATTCTCATTCATCCACGTCATGGTTATCTCGAGGACTCCAAAATCAGGCAACCAGTCTGCAGAATCAGGCAAAAATCAGCCAAAATCAGGCAACTGGACTGTATAGAGTTTAGACAATCCAGTTGCCTGATTTTGGAGTCTGCTAAAAAACACAATTGCAGACTTGGCGAGCCCACCAGGAGAACTAGCGCCAACCTCTACACATACAATGAAATAAGATTGTCAAATGTGGAATATTAAGGAGCTGAACTTTGAGAGTAACTAAGTAATCCACACCTTTTTTATTTAGATAAAAAATCAGTGCAGGATCACGGATTGAGATGGTTCCTTTGGTTCTTCCTGCTCCTCCCATCTGAGACCTTCCAGCTCCTGATGCTTGCTTTGAAGAGAAAGAGAGATGGAGTTCCTTTAGTTTGTCTCTTCTGTTAACGCACTGATTGGAAAGTCTCCTGTTGAAAAGGTCCTTCTCATACTGCTGGTTTCATCCTGCACTTTCTGTTCAACCTTCTCTATGAATGAAATATGACGTTAAATGTTTATAAAACATCCTGCTGATGAAAAGAAGAGAAATGGAGGCCTCTTTTTTGTTTGAATTCATCAACATTTATTAAATTGAGTGTATTTTCCAAGGGTTTGAATACGACCATGTTGGAATTCACACAAATTGAAATGGAAGAAATGGTCTCTGTGAAAAGTTGAAGCACATATCGTACGGCCTTGGAAATGGTTTTCCATGCAAATCACTCCTTCTATTATGACACCAGAGGAGTCTTATGTAAATTGTCATATAGAAGCAGTTTCCTCCTTGGATAGACTACAGAGATAGGCAGTGTTTTTTTGCTTCCATGTTTGCAAGACTGGAGAATGAATATAGAATATATATTTATGCATAGGTAAAGAGAAGAGTGTTTTTATAGTATGGAGGCTTTAAAGGAACACTTTCCCTCTCCTATCTTCACCGGCTCGCCTGCTGCACTCCTCTCCCACTCTGCCCCTTGGCCCTTTCTGGAGAGACCTCACCGAGCCCACATCTTCAGTTCACACTTGCAAAATATTGAGTAGGACCTAATTAGATATCCTGAATGACATTAACAAATGCAGCCGGAGCCCACACAGCGTGCAGAGGGCCAGTGAAATCCCCGCTATAAACACATCCCCGAAATGAATTTCTGCTGGTGAATTCCTAATCCACAGCTCCTCGTCGATTCTCATGTTCTTCTCCTTTTTTTTCGTTTTTCAAACTGCAGCAATTACCTCCGATGCCAGATCTTTCCCAAAGCCCTTGCTTCTTATCATCAATACCACTACATCCTCTCGCCTCCTCCTTTAGTGCCTCCGCAGCAGCCCTACTTTATTCCTCCTTCAGTGCCTCTTGGCCTCCTCCGAGGGATCCTATAGAGAGCGTCCCTCGGGAGTACTACCGAGTCGGAGCACAATTACACGAACTTTTCTCAGGCTCAGAGGATGTCATAGATCACACTGCTTATTCAGTTTTGGGAGGACAGGTGCCGTCAGGAGTGGAGCCATCAGAGGTAATTAGCTCCACATTTTCATGTTGTTTCCTCGAGGGCGTGTTGTAGCAGAAGCGCCGGAATCCGGTGATTGTCTGAAAGTGGCGATGAAGCGGAGGGCTGAAGGGGGGAAATGTAACCTGTCAGAGATGAAGTGTTGTGGATAAACGGCCACTCCCACACGAAACACACACTTCCCTGACACTTCGGATCTCCAGCCGTAAAGTTTTGTATTGACAACCTCATTCATCACATCAGGTGTAATTCTGAGGGAAACCTGCTGGATCGGTAACAATCTTTCTCTGAAGCTCTTTATGAATAAAACTGAGGTCGTTTCCTCCCATCTATTCTCGTTTCAAAACTGACAGGAGGAAAATACACTGCGGAAATGTTGGGTATCATGTTTTCATCAGCTATAACTCTATCAAACTTACCTCTCAGTTGAATTTAAAGCGAAAGATAGTGTTCGGAAATGTCGGAAACAAGATTTAAGGATGCTGCAGTGTCGTAAAGTCAGACACAGCAAATGTAACACCAGCTCTCTTGTTTCTTCTTCAGGTTGTTTTTTTTTTATGGGACTTTTACCTTCTTTTGTTAAAACAGCTTTAGAGAAACAGGAAACAGCGTGTGGGATGATATGCAGCAGAAAGCTTGAGGCCAGGAGTCTTTACCAGTGACGGGAACTCTCTTTATGGGTCTTGATTTCGTGACCGTTAAGCCAAACCAGCAGCCCTGCATGGAAAAAGTGATTTTCAAAGTCGTCTTCTGTCTGGTGATACATCATGTTGGCACCATGAGTGTCTTGTCATTGGAAAATTTCATCCTTGAACAAATAAGTGGACCGAGTGACTTGGAATCAGGCGGACAATGCCGTCTCTGTGGCCACGCTTGGGTGGAAAGAAAGGATGCCCAGAGACTAGACTCAATATTTGACGATGGATTAGTTTGTTGTTGCCTCCATGTTAGCGCTGACTCCCCAGACCAAATCTGTTTCTTTCCATACCTCTCTTAGTCCTCCCTCCCTCCCTCCCTGCCGTGTCTTTCCACATCCATACTGTGGACTCATATACTTCGTCTATTTACACTTCCCATCTCTTCCACCACACTTCATTTTTCCTCTTTGAACACCTGCTCTCTCTTGGTTTTTCAATCTCACAGTCCTCCCCTGTCCTCCTTTATTATGCACCACCTAATGTAACACTCTCCTCTCCTCCTCTCTCTCTTCTCTACACCCTCCCGTTACAGAAGTATACTTTACAGACTCTCTCGATTAATTCGTTAAACTAATACTCTTTGACATTTTTATACAAATGTCCAAGTGAAGGAGGGGGAGTAAACATCCTGTTTGACAAATAAATCAACTGCTTCACATTAGCATTTTCAGCTGTAGGGAAAACAAAGTCTACTTGACTCCGGCTCTGTCTGACAGCTGGTCACCGACTTCAGTTCAGACTTAAAGATCTCGGTGAGAAAATCTGCAGACTTTGCCAACCCACTGTCTTTCTTTGAGTGCCATTGTGTGTGAAGTAATAATACTTTACTGTATTCCTGTGTGGTAACTTTATCTGCGCTCAGCAAAGTCTGCAGTGTGCAGTTTTTGTGCAACCATGTAGCTCTTTCTCATACCCTTTATACTGCTAAGTTCTGCCTCAGCTGCTCTGTACTCCAGCTGTCCTTCCTTCTTTGCAGTAATTCTAGTTAGGAATGGGAATTTTGATAAAATCCCTTGATTGAATAATCATAGAAATTAATGATCAATCGTCAATTTGATCGTTTGTTTATGTGAATGGCAGAAAATACCTCCAAAAACGTGGTTTTCCTCAGAACTGACTACCGTTTTTTTCTCATTCATGAAACTCTAAAATCGTGGGCATTCCTGCGGACAACTTTAGCTGAAGGACAGGTCATCTAGAACGGGGGCTGTCCCCTGAAATCAGGGACGCCTGGTCACCCTACAGTTCCCCTTTACTAGCAAAGTGCTGATGGTAAATTGAGATTGAGAGCACTCGGAGGGTGGTTCAGGTGGTCTATCATTGGGGTCGTCGTCGTTGTGTTTTACTTGTACACATCAGCGCAGTGTTTGCAACCGAACCGCAACATATTTCTGCGGGAAATGGTCCCACGCCGCACTTCGTCTCGGTTTCTTCATGTTTTTTCTGACTTCTACAAAAGCCTGCTGACACTCTCCTTGTAAAATGTCAAAATCCCTCTGCGCGGTGATAGTCACTGAATCCCGATCAGCAGAAGTTTATCTTTGCTGGAAAGCACTTGGAAGGATGGACGCACGCTGTCAGCCCTTTTTTTAATTACGTTAGATTGATCGCAGTTTTCTCAACAATCAATTAATTGATCATCGCGTAATCATGCCCATTCCTAACTGTAGTCCAGTCATTTGCCGCTTCAGTGAACATTTTTTTGGCCGTTTTAAGAGGATAACCTAAAGTCCAACGTCGCCACCATAGCGCCACTCTGCTAGCATACCAAGTTAGTGTTTTTTCTACCACTTTCTGCTTGTTTCTAGAGTGAGAAGTAACTTTTTTTTTTTTTATTAACTGTCACATAAATCTATATAGCTTACTTATTTCCATCTCACCTTGGTGCACTGAAACAGAGGCTGTTATATGCTGCTAATTCTCAGTAATGATAGACCAGTTTGTTTAGTGTAATTATACTGACATCTTAAATTATTCTTGTAATGATTTATTGATGTTAAATTGCAACATGTGGCAACGGCAATTATGCAGTCAATTTATATTTTATGACATCTTTTCCTCTGCTGGTGTTCCGCATACATAAAGACTTTTATACCTTCTCTTTCCTGTTTCCCTTCCTTTAGTTGTCTTTCTCCTGCAGACACATCTGTCAACACACTTTCTCTCCTCTGTCGCTGTCCTTTTTCCCTCTGCTGCTTCCTGGTGTGTTTCGACCAGAATAAGTCAGGGTTGGGAATCACCTCCACCAACGGTATAATCGGTCTGGAGCGGGGTCCAGGTGCAGCTCGGCAGGAGGCCCCCCCTTTCCCCGGAAACCTGGTGATTACAGGACAATTAAAGTAAACACTAACAGCTGAGCTTCATCCCAAACACAGCCTTTATCAGTCAGCAGCCCGCCTCTCTCTGTGCAACAACGGCCATTTATCTCCATCTAGACAGACAGACGACCCCTGCGGGCAGCATCCTGTGTGGAAATAGCTTCACTGTAAACACGTTCATCTTTAAAAGCTGTTTATTATGCTATGCAGTTGCATTGTCTGCATCAGTTTGAACAAAATGTGGAAACTGTTAACAGCGTGAATCGAGGAGAGAGCATCTCACTTGTTTCCTCAGCCAAGAAAGAAAGAAAGAGCCAAGTGTTAGGTATAAAAAAAATACTTGAAAATAACACAAAGTTATATTCTAGGGTGTGGTTTAATAATCCTGCATTCATGTGGACCTCAGAGTCACTTTTCTTAGTGCTGTTGTAGGCTGTGCTTACCTACCATACTACCTGAAGAAGCGCTCACACAGAGTAAAATTATCTACTTGCTTAATTCGTGTGAATCTGGACGTGAATGAATGGTGTTCACTTGCTTCATTCGAGCGTCAATGGTAATTTTAATGGTAATCCCTGCCAATTCAACCAACGGGATCAAGTGATAGACAAAGTTTTTTTTTTTGACTCACATTATCGTGACACGAATATCCGCTCAACTTGAGACATTTCCAGCTCTCGCCCAATTTGCGTCATTCTCGCCGCCAGAGTAGCACAAGCGTCTAATCGCGTCTTTGAGTTGACTTAACATGTAACTTATGCGTGCGAATGATTTTACTTGTGCTTGGTGTGTAGAGAGGCAGTTAGAGGTAGCTGGCAGGGTGGTGATAATAGACGGTGCAAGAGAGAGCTACACATCTACATGTAAAGTGCACATTGCTGAATGCAGTGAAAGGGAGTTAAGTTAACATCACTTTTATACAGAAGGAGAAGGAGGTGTTGATGTGTTGTTCATCTTCAAATACAGACGATGGTTTCCAGCATTGAATATTTGTTGCCTAGATAGCTGCCGTTGACAGTCAAGTCTGGTTCTTCCATCCCAGCAGCTTATTTTGTCTCCTCGTCTGTAAACAGGTACAGACTTGACTGACTCACATTAAAAACATTCAGTCTTGGTTGTGTTCACAATCACAAAAAGCAGCTGTTGTGTGTTTATACCATTGGCTGGATATAGAATAAACAACCTCACCTCATTTCTACAAGACAGTCTGACTGCAGACCTCCACTCTGAGGACCCACCTCCACTGAGCGGACCAAAAGTTGATTTGAAGCCTTTCAAAATAAAAGCGAGGAAGTATCTATATATATTTTTTTATCTCGTGTGAATATATTTTTTCTTGGAGCTTTGTTTTATTTATATAGTGTTAATATATTTTTTTGTGTATTTATGTGTTCAATAATGATCAAATACAAAACAGGATAACCACTTCAAATAAACTGAAACGCGTGATAAATAACGTCACCTCGGGTCCTCACAGTGGAGGTCTGCAGCCAGACCCCTCTCCATTTCTCTCAAGTCTCCACTGGTGCCGACACTCAGGTTCTGTTTTCCAAGACGTGAGCTGGGTTAAAAAACAGATACTGCAGCCTATCACTAGGGGGAGCTCTAGATCTTTTGGCTTCAAGGTGTACTAAAGCATATAATATTCATTTTAATGTAACTTCTGGTTTGTACATGTTAAGACTCTTAAACTGTGTAAACTGAGAGAATACAACCGTCGATATCCATCAAAATTAACATTTAAAAACAGTTTTTCCAACAAAACGACATTCACTGGGTTAAGATTGCTCATTGGGTTCAGTTTCTATTATATGGACGTATTTACTGCAGCCTTGGCCTCTTGTCTCGCTCAGCGATAGTCTCCTCCAGCGTAGCTCTTATGAATCATCGTACCAAAATCAAGGTTACACAAATTAGATCTTTTCACGACTTTAATCACCGCACAACTGTGAATGAATGTGAGCCGGCTGTAAGGGGAATGTTATTTCGCACCACAGTGTTTTGGCTCTTTGCAATGACCAATCAAGTAAATGACATAAGCAGCACCCTGCCAGTCTATTCAGTCCTCACACACACACACAAACGAACACTTTCTAGATTCATACAAAACTGAACAAAAGACCGGCTGACCTGGGTGTAGATTAACGTGTGTTTTGGTCCTTTTATAAGTATTTTGCAGCTGCTAACTCCAGCACAGCCCACAGCAAAGCAATCAGCTCTTAAGTGTTCGCCCCCATGTTAACACATGTTAAGTATTAGAGTTATATTGAGATTCTCAGCGGGTCGTTCTGGAGTTGACCAGCTGTCCTGATGCTGGCCAATCACGCCCCAAAATCCCCGAACATTGTAATTTAGGTTAATGATGCCCGTTCCGGCTCTGTGTGCGTTGAACATGTGACAAATATGCAGCATAGCCGTGAGGAAAGACATCCTCAAACACAAGGACACCGCACATCCATCTGTTCTCTTTCTCCCTCCTCAGCAGTCTGTCACGACTGTCCCCTCTGCACCCTTTGCCGCCGTGAACTCTGGGAAACAAGTGTCCTGCAGCTGTGTATGCGCGGGTCCTGTGGCAGTGCTGCCTGCACACAGCTCACTGATTGTCACACTGCTGATTTCTCACAATAGCCGATGTTGCACACCGCGTGGTGGCCCGCCGGCTCCTTTCACTGCAGAAAAAATCAGAGCATGAGAGTCTGAGGTCTACTTCCTGTCTTTGTACTAGAAGAATAGATGCTGTGATGCACCTTGTTATCTCAGCAAGTCTTTGCAAAGATAGAAATTCTTCCTCTTTCAGTAGATCGCACTGTAATCTATTATTATACACACCTTATAATTGTAGATTATAGGTGCAGCTATACAGCAAGAGCCTCAGGCCCTATTTTTACAACTGAAGACCTGCTTGAAGACAAACAAACAAACCTGCTATTTATCTAAATAGGGCAGAAAACACAACACAACTTGATCTGACAAGGTGCTGCTGTAAATACACAAAAGCACCCTCTCGGATGTGTTTCTTTGAAATATGAAGACTGTATCTCCGCAGAAATGTTATACACTTCCTGAATAATCTTACAGTGAGGGATGCAGAGCGAGTTACTGTATCACTGATGGCGATCTGAGCGGCTATAAAGACGTAAATGAAAATGTACTCGGGTGGCCTGAATCTAGGGCTGCAGCTATCGAATATTTTAGTGATTGAGTATTCTACCAAATATTCCATCGATTAATCAAGTAATCAGACAAGTTTCTAGTTTAAGTGTAATTATCGTGGAACAAGCGTGTGTGGTAGCAGATTGCAATCCTCGTAAGAAAGCTAATTGAAATATTAACTTTCATCATGTCCCCAAAGAAATTAGTGTCCGAGAGTTGAATAGCTTCTTTGTTACTTGCTTCTGCTACTACCGATAATGTTAGGCTGCATGCTAGCATGAAGAGGAGTGTGCAGAGTAGGGCCTGACTGATTTATCGGCGAGTCAATTAAATCAGCCAATTTTAGCTCGTTTGAGACTAACTGATATTTTCAGAAATAAAATGCTAAGAATAAGATTCGGTTTCACTTCGAAAATGTTTGAAAAGTTCCCTGACTTATCCTGTCAGCGTGAAAAGCAGTAACCTACAGTATATCTACAGTTTATTGTATACTGTAGATATCTGCAGTGTATATATATATTATATATATTTTTTATCAAAAACGCGCTTTCTCCTCCTTCTACCGTGTTGACGTAAGCGAGTTGTGTCACCTTGAAAATAATTTGTGTGAAAAAGTGACGATTTGCGCTTTTAAAGGAGTACTTGAAAATTCCTTGATCGTTATTTGTAAACGAGGTACTTGAGGAATCATTTCAGCCCTACCTGAATCTTATGATAAATGAATGTTTAGATCGGTAACATGAACCATTAATAATCTGCATCATAACCGCCCCAAAAATCTGATATCAGTCGCCCTCTACTGGCTGGTTGAAATATGCTCCATTGCCATATCAAGGGTTCTTCGGTGCTTCTGCGTTACTGTTAACAAGAAACACACAATAAAGATTTGAGACCGTGGAGTGGAACGAGAACTCTCTTGACACACGTCTGTAGGACTGCAGCACTTTGTCCTCTCTTCCCCGCAGCTTCGTGCTCATTACTCCGCCGCGCTCTGACCTCCTCTCCTCCTGACCCACCTCCTGTTCTCTGGTGTTAGTCACTACATGTCCTCTTCTCTCTCGGCTTTCACTGGACAAACCTGCTGCACTCGCTTCTCATTTTGCTGCTTTTGTCTGTAGAAAAAAAAGAGACTCCCCCCAGAGACAAGGACAGTGTATCCAGACTAACCTCCGCCTGTCTTCTCTCTCTGACCTGACTCTGTCGGCACACTGCCACCAGAATCTTTCATTAAGGGTCACTGGACGACAAAACGCTTATTTAAACCTCCCAAAGCCTCCGCTGCTCCTCTTGAATACCTCATTTCTGCCGGGTATCCACTCCTTCTTCCTCATTTGCATTTGCCACGCACACTGAGCCGTGCCGCAGATTGCTATTTTCTTTTGATCCCAGTCGACTGGCCGAGCGAGAAAACAAACGGCTGTTTGAGAATCGACACAGACAAACATTACGGCGCAATCGAAGTCATGATCTAAAGCGCTCTATTTAATGTGAGCCATTCATGTGCTGATTTTAAATTGCTAACAGCACCATGCTGCGCCAAGTGTCTATAATCACAGTGACAATATACAATATTCTGGCCTGTAGGCGAGAGCTCCCTCTCCAATTATGTTTCCCTTGGCCTGAGATTGAATCTATTACTGTGTAATTGCCTCTATATCTCCAACTATCACCCGGAGCAGTCCCACAGATTATTCACACATATGGTGAGTAAATGTTTGCTGGAAATCAAAGCTATTTTTAGTTTGTTGTTGATACTGAAGGAGCTGTTTTCCAATGAAGAACTATCTTTTCACAACTTAGAGGAGATAGTGACCCAGCAGGGGGTCTGCGGCTGAGAGTTTACTGGAACGGCAGGAGGAAACAGATTCAGAAAAGTACATCTGAGGTAATGACAAATCATTTTCAACACTTTCCCTTCTCTTCGGCCTCGCCCGCGTCAAGAAAAATCAGACAGCATCAGCGGAGCTGTCAGAAACGCACTTTTAGTTCACTTTTCTGTGACGGTTCAGCGGGGTGAAGCTCCAGATCCCAGACCGAGGCAGACATTAAGACTGAAATATTCATAAGGGACATTAATGCTCGAGCTTCCCTGAAGAATCGGGTGTTTTACCAGCAGAGTTGAAGGAGTTTAACTTTGATTTCAGCTTTATTTGGATCAGGGATGTGACAGTAAGCGATGTAATGGTAAATCGTGATAAAAAATGTTGATAACAATTTCTGTTTTCATAAAAAAACAGCTGTGTGAGTGAGGGGTGTAATGAATCAGCTGTGTGATCAAGTACAATAACTTGCTAATTAATCAGCTCACACTCCACGGTGCACTGATGTATGTATACTGATACATGATACATACTCTTTTTTAAGGTGTGGCGCCTTTTATTTAGCTGTGGTGGTGCGCCATGATCAATTGCATGTAGGGGCAACTCTGTGTTGATCATCCCAGCTTCATCCGCGTCTTCTGTAGTAGCCAAGCAGGCGAAATATGTAGCTGACAATTTGCGTCTAAACTTTCTATTAAGTTTGAAATCGAATTATGGCGAAAAGAGGAGACGACAGAGCTTAAGACTTCCATCATCTCTCTAAGAGAACCAAGTCTGAAGTATGGGCATATTTTGGGTTTTGTAGGAATGTCGAGGGAACGCTGAGTTGAAGACGGTCATCCTGTCTAGATATGATGAAACGATGAAAACAAGGTGTGGTTTAGCACTAGTTAAAAGCATCAAAATTAATGTAATCAATGTCTTTGAATACATTTTTAAAAATACTGCGATAATACTGAAAACTATGATTATTTTGGTCACGATAACCATGAGGTAGAATTCTCATACTGTTACATCCCTAATTTTAAACCAAATAGGGAAGTTTTCAAGCTGTGAAAGGCTGCATTTCGGCTGATTTGATGGAAATATTGTCAGAATTTACTATAATACAGCAACAACAAAGAGACTCGATGATGAAATCAGGAGATCAGGTCACCGTCAAGTTTAGAATAAAAATCTAAAGTAAATTAAATGTGGATTAAACTCAGTAGTTCTGAGCGTGTTTGCTTCCTTGAGCTGCTTTTGGGATTTGGAGGCACTTGTTTGTTAATTTTGACAAACAGAGAATCATTTTTTATTTTTAACTGAACACACACACACACACACACACACACACACACACACACACACACACACACACACACACACACACACACACACACACACATACAAAAATCTGAAGTGAAACTTTCCCCCCTCCTCAGATGTCTTCTTTCTGCTCGACCTGGCGGCGTGTTTCCCGTGTTCTTGCTGTGGTCAGCAGGTCAGAGGTTGGTAACCACTGAACTCGAGCTTCGCTGTCGGCGCACTTTGATGAAACGGTTGGATTACAAATGAGATTTTAATAATCCCCAGAGGAAACCCTCATTGATGTCGGTAACCTTTGACCCTTTTTTGAAATGATCAGGATTATAGTCGAGTCAAACGTCCCCTCCCAAAAAAACATCTGTTTCAGTAAAAGTCCCAATCGTCGATCGATCGAGCGAGCGAGCGGCTCTCACTGCACACCCGCCTGTTTTTATTCACAGATTTGACATCACTGTCTGCTGGGAGGTTTCACTTTTTCATCTCAACTCAACAGATGAAGAAAAGTTCACTTTGAAACTCTTTGTGTAGACTGGAAACACGAGTTCTTCCTCGTTCGACTTTTAGGCGACTTCCTCTTTTGAAGCAGATGATGACGGCAATTTGGGACGCTTGAATGACCCTCACAGATCACTCCAGCTCTCGCACGCTTAACATTTCACCTCTTCATTGTAAACACGGCGAGCACAGAGAGAGAGAGACTTCTGCGAGTTTTCGTTTTGCCTTTGGAGATGCCCAAACAGAACAGTGTATTAAAGATGCATGATGTGCGCTATGTAAACAGCGCAGCTCTTTGTGAGGAGTGGAAAACATCATTATGTGGATTTACAGCCTGGAAATCACCCAAATCAGCCGGCTCCTCGAGGTCACAGCACTTGTGCTAAATGATGGCTCTGGTCCTTCTGGGGCCTTTGAGGGAACCGGATCACAGCCGGCTCTCCTGGTCTCCATGCTGAAGGTGATCATTTGCGGTTGAATATCCGAGAGGAAGCAGAAGGAGCGGGACACGTGGCGGGCTAATGATGCGGTGTTTGTCCGCTCAGAGAGAGAGAGAGGGAAAATCTTTTGAATAATGGCGTAAACAGCGGCCGAAAAAAGGCGCTATCATGTCATTTTCAGAGCAAAACGCAGAGAAGAAAAACAGAATTACATGAATGAGGGTGTGTGTGTTTTGTACAGTGTTCACCTCATGCTGTTCGCCTCAAAAAGAACATCTCACAAAAGAGTCCAGCGGTCAGTCAGACGTCTTTTGGGGACACAGTCTGCATCTGCTCATGAGAGGACATCAAAATGTGGACATTTTACAGTTCAGAATAGCAAAGATGTGAAGAGTTTGATCACTTTGTGAGAGACTGTGTGAGCAAGGATTACAGCGAATTTCCTCATTTATAGTAGGAAACATCATTACGACAAAGAGAATCTGGAGAAATCTTTGTGCAAAAGAGACAAAACAAGCATCAGACTGAAGACAGCGCCGCTTTAAAAACAGACGCGACTCAAATTGGTTGATTTTTTTTAAACTATGAACGGACAATATTACCAAGTGTTTATTTATGGCATGACATCAATATTTTGATTTTAGAAAAGACGTTTGCTGTCATCCCCGGTAAACTGCAACAGTTTTATAATCGTTGTAGAATGTTAAATTTGATTAGTGTCACATGTCACAGTGGAAAGCATGCGCTTGAGTCTAGATGACTTCCTGTTTGTAAAACTTAGCAGAAGAAAAAAATCAGGAACCCTGACTCTATAGTAGAAGTCACTGCCACTGTCTTTAAGCACATTTTGTCTTCAGATGAAGGTCAAACCTGTACCATGTTGGGACGCCAGTTGGCGGTGTAAGCACACGCCCCAAGAACAGAAGCTATAGCCCTCAATGCAGCGGTCGTTGGTACAATGTGTGGCATGTCTAACCCTTTCCTTACGCCAGATATTTCCTGTCTCTCATTAGTTTTCCTATCAAATTCCTATCCTAGCAAAAACACCCAATATTATAAATTGGGAAAGAAAAATGTACCATGATCCAGAAATGATGATGACTTCTCAGAGCCCAAGTCCATCTAAGAAAGACCGAGGCAAAGTGAAAAACTGTCCTGTGGTCCAAACACTTAAAGTCTGACATTCTCTTTGGAAATCATGGAGGTCTACAGAGGAGACCCTAACTATGAACTAGGGCTGAAACGATTACTCGAGTAACTCGAGTAACTCGATTAATAAAATTCCTCGAGGCAAATTATATGCCTCGAGGAATCGTTTAAATCCGGAACCATGTGCAGCGCACGGTGTTTGACACGGACGGTTATTTCTGTTGCGCAGAATCGTGCTCTTTCCGCTCCTTCCGCTGCCGCGCGTTTGGTTCAATCATGGAGGGAAACGAGGACAGACAGAAGCTGTGTCCGAAATGGCATACTGCCTGCTATCTACTTACCTACTCAAGCAGTAGCTACTGCCTACTGACTACTCAAAGATGATTTGAGTATGCCGCGGCTGCCCGAGCGTTTACACACATACATACTAAATACCCCAGAATGCATTTCGTGCCGGCCGGACGCAGCGCCGGGAAAATTTAAATAGTCCTACCACAAGCTACATAGAACGACTGCATTCCGGACAAATCATATAAATTCATTCAATAATAATATTTTTTCTAGCGAGAAAGTAAGTGTTTACATCACGATTATGAGCCCAGTTGTTTGAAATAGTGGCTGTTTGTAAATTTGTCTCGGCGTTTTCGGAGACCGAAGCGTCCACTTGGTCGGTGTTTGCGTCTATTTACCGTAAACACCGGGCAGCAGCAGCTCCCCCTTCACGTTTCCAAATTATTGCGAAGTGTTTTCATAATCAACATCTACACGACACAAACCGGGCGGCAGTGGATGAAAAAAATCACACAAACATCCGTGTATCCATGGTGATAATGCTATACACCACCTGCTAGGCGTGTGATGAGCAGCAGAGGGCTGCAAAATGACCAACACACAACAACATGTAAATAAAAAATGTAACACTTTTATATATTGAATAAATGTACATTTGCTTGTCAAATTATGTTAGTATCCAAGAATTATATTATTTCAGCCTATTAATTAAACAAGTAAAATTAGATCCAAAGCCTGGAAATAGTTGTGACTGGTTTAGTGAAAACTGCAA